TTGGTTGGAGGGGCTGCCCATGGCGCGGGGGGAATGGGGAACCTGTGGACAGGCCGCTTCCCCTCCCACTTTGATTCAGTGCTGACAGATGTTCTGGTTGCCATTGAAACCTAGCTCCCAGCCCCCCCATAGCTCCCAACCCCCCAGGCTGTTGCCAGTGTAAGAACCAGGCAACAGGCGCTGCTGCAGTGAGCTGGGGGGACAGGCTGGGCCCCAAATCCCCTCACATCAGGAGCCAGGGCTGGGCTGGCAGGGCCTGCGGGTCGGGAGTGAGGGGCACCGGCAGGGCTGTGGGGGGCAGGGTTGGGCTGGCAGGGGCCGGGGGTGGGGAGTGAGGGGCACCGGCAGGGCTGGGTGGGGGAAGCCCAGGGTTGGGCTGGCAGGGGCTGCGGGTCGAGAGTGAGGGGCACCGGCAGGGTTGGGCTGGCAGGGGCTGTGGGTCGGGAGTGAGGGGCACCGGCAGGGCTGGGTGGGGAAGCCCAGGGCTGGGCTGGCAGGGGCTGGGGGTCGGGAATGAGGGGCACCGAGGTGGGGGGCCCGTGTTAAGTTGCCCCTTTGGCCGCAGCGAGTGGCTCCGGGTTTCCCGTGGCTCCGGGCAGGGCAGGTTTTCCAGGCCCGGGGCCGGCAGAGCAGTTGGTCTGGTCTGGCCTGTCCTGTCTGGCGGCGCAGCGGGGAGCTCTCCCGGCTCCAGCCGACGGGGGGGAGGGGAGGCTGCGCTGCTGGGGCCGTGACCGGGCCGGCTGGGGCTGCTGGCTCCGAGTCCATCCTCTGCTTTCTCAGAACAGGACGTTTCAGACAGAGCATCGCTTCCTGTCGATGCCTCGGGGACCCGCTGGGCGAGGAGCGAGGCGGGGGAGGCGCAGCTGGGCCGACGGCCCCAGCGCCCGGGGCTCGGCGTGACCCCAGGCCCCCTCTGCTCCCGGAACGCTGCAGCACGGGCTGCCCAGTCGCGCCCTCTGCCCTAGGAAACGCCCCCGCCCGCCCTGGGGCGCTAGAGGAAAGGGGGCGTGGGCAGGGCTGGGGGCCCTAGCTGGAAGGAGGCCTCGGGGGGGCCTTTCAGGACTGGGGTGTTAACGAGGCCAGCCAGGCTCAGCCCCCCCCGTCTCTGGGCCCGTGGCGGCTCCAGCCAGGAATCGTGCGGCGCTCGGTGTTTTCCACGCCCCAGGAAAGCTCCGTGGAGCAGCTGGGGCAGGATCCGCGGCGCTGGCTCCACCCTCGCTCCCACTGGGGTGAAGCAGGAGTCAAGCCCCTGGGTCTCATGTCCCCCACCCCTCCCAGTCCATCAACGCCTGATTTACTCAGGACAGGGGCTGGGGTTGTGACCTGGAGGGAGGGACCCCGGAAGCTGCTGGCCAGGACC